AACCAAAAACAAAAACAAAAACAAAACAAAACAAAAAAACCAGAAACTTTATTAAACCAGGCATGGTATTGTGCACCTATAGTCCCAGCTACTCAAGAGGCCTAGGCAGGAGGATCACTGGAGCCCAGAGTTGGAGGCCAGACTAGGCCATACAGTGTGACCATGTCTCAAAAACAAAATAATTTAAAAAGAAAAGGAAAAGGAAAGAAACCTGCTTTATTCTCACAGTTTCTGTAGGTCAGGTCCGGGTGCAGCTGGGCTGGCTGCCTCTGCCTCCAGGACGCTCACTGGGCTGTAACCACGGCATCACCTACAGCTGCAGCATCGTAAGGCATCGCTGGCAGTGGACCTGCTCCCAAGTCACCTGTGCAGCTGACGGCTGGGCTGAAGTCCTTGCTACTGTGGGCTAGAAACGTCCGTTCCTTGCCACTTGGGGCTCTCCGCAGGTGGCCTGCACCAGGGCACCTGGCTCTTCCTGGAGCGAGCTGAGATTCAGGGAGGGAAAGTATGTGCCATGTGGAGGCTGCAGTGTGGCTCTTCTCTCTTCAAACAACAGATTATTTTGTTTCCTTTTAGCACTGGGGATTGAACCCAGGGCTTTAAGTATGCAAGGCAAGCACTCTACCACCAAGCTATATCCCCAGCCATTTTAATTTTTTTTAAGACAAGGTCTTACTGTGTAGTCCAGGTTGGCCTCAAACTCATGGCAGTCCTCCTGCCTCAGCCTCCGAAGTGCTGGGATTACAGGCATGTGTCTGGCTTAAAATTTTGTTTTGAAAGAGAGTCTCATTAATTGTCCAGACTGGCTTTGAATTTAGGATCATCCTGCCTCTCACGTAGTTAGGATAACAGGTGTGCACCACCATGTCCCACAATAGCTTTTATTTGGAGGAGCAGTTTTATTTATTTATTTATTTATTTGGTACTGGGAGTCAAACTCAAAACCTTGCGTTGCCAGGCAGATGCTGTGCCATTGAGCCATATCCCTGGCCCTGCAGGAGCAGTTTTATTTATTTATTTATTTATTTATTTATTTATTCTGGTATTTTTGAGACAAGGTCTTGCTATGCAGTTTAGGTTGGGCTTGAGCTCACTTTGTAGCCCAGGCTGGCCTTGAACTCGCAACAATCCTCCTGCCTCAGCCTCCCGAGTGCTGGGATTAGAGGCATGCGCCACCATGCCTGGCCTTGCAGGAGTAGTTTTAGATTGATAAAAAGTGAATGGAAAGTACAAAGATTCCCCCCATAAATCCCCATAACAAGCTCCAATTTTCCCCTATTCTTAACATCTTGCATGTACATCATCCTTTTGTTACAACTGATTAGATAATATTGATATATTGGTTACTAAGTGAAGTCCACAGTTGTAGCACTGGGGATTGAACCCAGGGCTTCACCAGGGGATTGAACACTAGGGTTCACTCCTGGAATTCTATTGAGTATGGATAAATGTATGGTGTGTATCCATCAGTAGTATCATTCACAATAGTTTCAGAGCCCTAAAAATTCCTTATGCTCCACCTTCTGTTCCCAAACAACTCTTGGACTCAAGATTGCAGGATATTGTTTGCCTGTGGTTAAGACTCCCTGGCACTGACCAAGGGTCAGTAGTTCTGGTGATAAGTGTGTAGTCAATACAGATCACTGGAGATGAACAGGCCAGGCAAGCCACTCCCATGACCCTTGATCAAACCTTTAAAAAAAATGAATCATTCTTAGCACATGCCTGTAATCCCAGCACTTGGGAGGTTGAGGCAAGAAAATTGCAAATTGGAGACCACTCTGGGCTATATAGTGAGACCCTGTCTCAAAAAAACAGAAACAAGAAAAGGTCATGATTTAGCTGGAGGGCAATCATTATGGTTTGGGGGACATTTTGCAAGGAGAACAATATAATACAGGACACACTTTTATAAGATTATTTATACTAGTCGCCCAAAGAATGCTATACAAAAGAGTGCAGGAAATCTGTCCACACACTAAGACCAAGGAATCCAGCCGAGGGCCTGGATCCCACAGAAATGTCCTGCATGAGTCCAGCTGAAGACCTAGAGCTCATAACAATGCCTCCCACAGATCCAACTGGAGGCCTAGAGTCCATGACAATATCTCTTGCAGGCCTATTTCATGGCTCTGCACTGGGAAGGTCCAAAGATCAGTGGTAGAATCTAGGAAGTCCGTGCCAGCGGGATGAAGGATCTGTGCCAGCAGGCTGAGGGATCTGCACTGGAGCCAGGAAGCAACGTGCAAAGTAAGAACCAGAGCTCCCTGAAAAGTACCACAACCATCCTCAGCCAGAGTAAGGTCCTGAGCTCCTCCAGTGGTGAAGACAGCTGAGTTCCCATCAGGAAAGCCAACGCAGCAAGCTTCTCCAGGAGACTAGAAGTGCACCATCTTTTCCTCTAGAGTCAGGAAGTGACGCTCAGAGTGAGGACCAGAGCTCCCCCAAAGTGAACCGAAGCCCTCTCAGTGCCAACAAGGTCCCGAGCTCCTCGGAGGATGAAAACAGCCAAGTTCACCAGGAAAGCCAACATGACAGGGTCCTCCAACAGAACCAACAGCTCCTTACAGCTTCTACCAGCTTCCAGCAGCCTTTCTCAGCAGGGGTCAGATGTGCAGAGAGGTGACTTTTGATGTTATACTGCGACCTCCTGGATCTAGCCACCCCTGGAGCCACGGCCACCCCAAGACTGTTGGTTTCATAAGTCGGTCATGTCCCTTTGTCCATAAGCCAGTTTTCTGTTCCTGGCCACAGCGGGGTCCTCACAGATACAGCCTGAGTGTGAAAAAGATATTTAAAACTTCTGACCCTGGGTGGTTTGAGTTGGAGTCACTTCTGTGCTCATGGGAGGATTAATCCTTACCGGTTTCCTGTGTGTATGTGTGTGTGTGTGTGTGTGTGTGTGTGTGTGTGTGTGTTTCCTCTACTTGTGTCTTTTTTTTTCCCTTCTGGGCTGCAGGTCAAACCCAGGGCCCTGTGCATGCAGGGCAAGTGCTCTACCGCTGTTCTCAGTCCCCAGTCTCCCCCGCGTCTTAAGCACAGGCCGCAGGTGGACACCTTCCTGTCTGGCCCGAAGCCTCCTCCCCAGAACACTAGTCTTCAGGATTGTTGCTTCCCTCCTCGTCCACTCTCTCTTGTTCCAGACCCCTGTCACCTGCTCTGTGATTGTGTGAATGGCCACAGTTCTTTTATGAAGCTCACCCTTTGATGAGGTGAGGTTTGTGCCAGCACCCGGGGAGCCTCTCCAGGGGATACGTAGCTGTGGCAGCCTAACATATCATTGGCCAAAACTCTCACAACCCCTGGAGGGCTTTCTAAGTGCCAGGTGCTACGCTAGAGTAATCACTGCTCTCACAACACAAGGGTTGCTAGTTGCATCCCTATTTTCAGATGGGGAAACTAAGGCTCAGAGAGGTTAAGCCACTTTCCTGAGTTCACAGAACTAGTATGTGATGGGAGAGAGAGAAAGTCAGCTCTGATGTTAACACTCAGAATGTGAACCACTAACCCACAATAGTACCTTTCTTTATGGCAAGAAGTGCACCATTAACCATCCCTCAATCTCCCAGAGGAGAGCTTGCTAACTTCCCAAGGCACTCAGGACCCAGTGCATCCTCAGACCCTCCACACAGCACCCTGGCAGCCACTACAGTTGCTCTGGTTT